CCTAAGACTATCTAGAGGGGACCCCTGCAAGCATAGTTTTCCTCTCTCTGTGAAGGGGAGATTTCATGTTGCCCCTTGCCCCTAATGGTTAGGGTATAGGGTTGGGGCCGCCAGTGGGGGKCTGGCTAACACAAAGACCGAGACCTGCCAGTAGCTGTGCCTCCCTTTCTCATCGTCCCCCACCCTTCATCGAGTAGCAGCAGAGGCTATGGCCAACACTCTCCCACACACCACACACAACCCACTCGCGCTCACACTCACACCCGTGTTGGTCATAGACCCCGCTAATACCGATCAGGGGTAACCAGAGGACTATCACAGTCCGTTGGCACTAAGTGCGCCGCAGGCGGCCATGGGGCTTGAACCCACAACCTCCTGAATGCCACTTGCATGCCTAACCAACTGAGCTAGGCCGCTGTTCCAGCTTTCAGCTCGTGAGGCAGAGCGTTTTCTGTTTGTTCGTTTCTATGTAAGGTGAGTTATCAGTCCAGAAGTATCTTTCCTGGCAGTCTGTCCAGATACATGCAGTGGAGCGAGGTCCACTCGAGATAGATGGAGAGAAGGACATAGCTTAGGTCCATTCGTGGGCTTGCACCTTGGACGGCTCTGACATCACGATTCCAAAATCCGAACCCATAACTTTTTCCACAGATGTTTCCACAGATGGCAGGGAAGTTGCAGAAGGATATAATCTCAGCAGAGCCTCATCACAAGCGTAGTGTTCCCCTCGTGGCTGAGGGTGAAAGAGCATCAGATGTTGCCAATGGTAACTGGTCCATTGGACCACAAGATGACAAATTGGAGAAGGGGCCTACCCGACCCACATCTTAGGAAAAATGTGTGGCTGTTCGCCGCTGCTGATCTGCACAGATCAGCGGTGGATATCCTCTGCCCGTTTTTCTTAAGAAATGGGGTCCTTGACTCCTGGCCGATCTTTGCCGCTGATCTGCGACGATCGGCGGCCAAGATTGGCCACTTTTTGGACTTGAAAAATCCGGGCCTACAGGACCCAGTTTTGAAATTGCGGGGCAGGGCCCACCCCCACAAGGTCTCGGGAGCACATACACGCCGGCAAAAAAAAGAATTCAGTCCTCAGCGAAAATGCGCTGGGGGCAACTGGGAGGGAACCGGCCCGGGCCACCGGCTGGTCCAACCGGGAGGACCGCGGATGCGGCAGGGGTCCCCGGTCCATCCGGGGACCAGCCCTGGTTAAAACTTAAAACAGCAATTTTGTCAAAAAAGATAAAAATACTTAAAAAAAAACTAGGCTGCCAGAGTGGCCCGGGGCAACTTGCACAACCAGGCCAAAAATAATTAAAAAAAATAAAAATAAAAACATATTTGAATTTATTTTTATTTTATTTTCATTCTAGGTTACCAGTTGTCCGATCCGGAGACGTCCTGGCCGGACGTCTCCGGCGGACAATTTGGGCAGAATTGTCCGGAATCCTGGACAACTAATTTTCTCCATTAAAAAAAGTGAAAACAAAAATTAAAAAATGGGGAGGGGCTGCTCTACATAAATTGACCCCATAAAAAAAATTCCAGCTCATTCGGAACAAAAAAAAAATAAAACGCAAAACATGGGGAAAGGGGGATTTGGGGGGGTGGGTTGGGGTGCGTGATTGAAATTGACCCCCATAAGATAGAAGTGTTTGATTGGAATTGGCATAGACATCTTTGGCGTTTTTTATCTTTTCTTCCATGGGCTCAAATGTGCCAAAACATTTGTGGCATATACCTCATGTGAGGGAGAACCTACAAAAAAAAAGATCTTTTTTTTTTTTTTTTTAAGAGGGTTGGACATACTTGTCTCGAGAGGACGTCTCCCCAGTTGTCCGACCGGACAAGTCGGACATCCAGAGGGGTCCCGGACATCCGCCCTAGTAAGCTAGTTTTTATTTTTATTGTTATCTTAAACTTGGTAGAGAATCTCGATGTGACCCTGAGGCAAAAGTTGCTCGGTTTATTTTTTGGCATCACAAACGTTTTTTTTCCGGATTTTTAACTAGGCTGGTTTCCCGGGCGCCCGGGCACCCAACTTCTGCCCGGGTACACGCCCGGGTGCCCGGCCGGGCATGACCTCCGGGCAGGGTTCCGGGTAGCCCCAGCGCCAAAAAAAAAAAAAAAAAAAAAACTCAAAAAATTCCCGAAAAAAAATATGTTGTGTAGGATTGAAATGCAAACCACTTTTGGCTGAGGGTCACATTATAATTCCTCACAGAATCGGAGATAAAAAACAAAATAACAGAATCACACAAAGGCACCCCCCTTTAGACCCCTTTAGCCCCTTTAAAACCAATTTATACCCCCCTCCCCCCCCCTTGACAGCCAACTCGCAAAAAACTAAATGAGCCCGGATTTGGAGTCCTCTGGGAGAGCGCAGAAAACCAAAAAAAAAAAAAAAAAAAAAAAAAATTTTTTTTTTTTTTTTTTTTTTTTGCATGCCCGGGTACCCCGGGCGTCAGACCCCCCCGGGCGTCACGCCCGGGTGCCCGGACGGGCAGGACCGTCCGGGCGTGAGAATCTTCCTAGATTTTTAATCATTTTTTCGATTTTGTTTTTTTTTTGCTGGGCCTTCCTTGTCCTTGCACGGCTGGGCTGCCTGGTCACAAGCACTGTGTATAAGCTCTATCGTGGAAGGGAGGATTTTTTTTTTACTGTGGCTATCGTTGGCATCACAAGCACTGTGTATAAAATCTATAGCGGAAGGGAGGATTTTTTTTACTGTGGCTATCGTCCACATCACGAGCACTGTGTATAAGCTCTATAGCGTACACTGTGACTGAGAGTATCCTCCAGGGCTACCCCCCAGAGGTTTCTCTGGGTGCCTTGGCAAAATTGGTCAAGGCTATGGCGCAGAAGACCCTATGGATACTAGCTGGAATTTTTAAACTGTACTGGGATGAAAGGAAGCGGAAGGGAGGATTCGAAGCCGGGATCCTATAAAGGCGGACAACGGTTTGACAGCTGCAGCCCGAGCAAGACTCTGACATGGATGGTTTGACAGCTGCAGCCCGTGCAAGACTCTGACATGGATGGATCGCAAGCTATAACCGTCAAATGAATACTTGGAGGGATAACGTATGAATCTTGCCTGAGACGACCGTGACGCCTGGAGGTGTTTGCAGATTTCGTACTAATTGTGTATTCTCAATTTCGCTTGATTTCCAATTTA